GGTTTTATCTGTCGCTGGCTGTATTCAATCTTGCTGTCAATGACACTTGTTGGAGCAACGAGCAAAGAGAACCCGTGGGTACTCAGATCAGTTATTTAATTAAATTATAGCCGATGTGGCTGCACAGATGCCCGTTCTGTCCGGTCTTTGACTCTCAGCGGCCTGCCATCGTCCGAATTGCAGGCTTAAGTTGGATCGCAGGCCGCCAGCATGGTTTAGTTGCTCAAAAACCGTCTGGGTTCTTCTATGCAGCTTCAGCATCGATAAGGGATTCGTTCAATGCTCATCTCAACCAGAACAGTTGGACGTTTCGCCAGCATGCATGGTTAGCGTCTTCAGAGGTCTAAAGTGAACCCGCCGCTGAAGTTGCTCGCTTTGAACCCGAAAAACGTTTCCGAACCCGAAAAACCCTATTTTTCGTTGGTTTTTGCAGGATTCAGTTGAACAGCCGAACTAGGTTTTTGTCCAAACTTTTCACTATCTTTGGACAACAACATTTTTCCAACTTTGGCTCGAGCAAAACTCAAATATTTTAAGCCGCGAACGTATCAAGCTCGAACGCATCACCTGGCCATCCATCTGGCATCTCCCTTAGCATGCCGCATGTGCGAGCGAGAGATCCGATGACAACTACGTTCCAAAATGGAATACTCAGTTTCTTTTCACTGGAATCAGAATTATTTTAGTATTGTTTTTTCGTCTAGGTTCTTATGCGTCATTCCATTTGTCTCTAAAATTTATTTCAGATTTTCTGCGGCACTTTGATTCGATTTGACTCGAATAAAAAGCCAAAAAATCGTTAATTTCTCAAAAACATCACCATTTTATATGACATTAATGTTAACATTTTGTTTCAGGTAAGTTTTCGCAACGATGTGATGCAATTCTCAATTGGTAAGCGTATTTTACTTATTTTCTGTCTACACTAAGCGACGTTTTGGTTGCAGTTCACTCAGTCATGCTCAGAGCCTTATAATTGGGCTTCGAGCATGACCAATGGATGATTTAAATTGTCTT